TTTTACTATGAAATACTCTTTCACATCAAACTTGTAGTGTTACCTGTTAGTGTCTGAGCAAAGCTGAAAGTAAGAGTTCTCGTTCCAGCCATCTGGGACAACACTGGTTCTTTTTGGAACATTCTGTCCTCTGTCATTCCAACCCAAGAGGTCATTTGTTTTTGTTCTGCATCCTGCCAAACAATTTTTTTTTTGTTCTGCATCTTTTATGCTGAGAGAGCATATATGAAGAACTTAATACCGTCTGATCATTCATTCATCCGGTACTGTATACTTTAACTGGTAACAGCTCTTCAAGGAATAGGCAGAGGTCTTTTCCTTCAGCTTTGCTGCTAACAGTTCTTCAACTGGAGAGGCTGGGGACTGAACCTGAGACCTTATGCTTAAACTCCAGCTGTAAGGGCAGTGTTCAAAATGATTCTGTAGGCTTTGGTTCTGGTTTATGGCTGCTTTCTTGTTAAAATACATCCTGTAATCAGGTCTGTTTCTTTACAGTAGGTGGCAGTAGAGTAGAAGATACTGCAGCAAGAAACTTGCCTGTGTCCTATTCAGATACAACATTAAGTGTAGTTTTCTTAATCTAAATATAATCTACTGGTTGTCATAGTGATGGAGCCATGGTACAGTTAATAGCTTTTGTACTAAATAATCTAATAGGAGATACCTTTTTAGTTTGACTTGGCCCTTTAAATCAGAAATTTTAGTGTACCAGTTGTAAACATGAAAATGTTAAAAAGATTTTTATATAAAGAAACATGATTTACACTAACTGTGCAGGATACCACTGTAAAGAAATGTGTTACCCTGTTCAGTTGTCATAGTTGTCCTAAGCCAGAGAGTCTTTATTTGTAATTCTGACTGTGGTATTCTGACATTAGCCTAAACAAAAATAGCTGTGCTGTAAGAATTAGTGTGAATGTGTTTTCTCTGAAGACCTGTTCTGTATCCCATGTTTCATAAATATGCCCATATTGCTGCTAATGGCTCACCCTGTATCCTAAAGTGCAGATGTTTCTGTATTTGTTTAATACTAACTTTCTTAGGATTGGTTTATATCAGACTGTGTTAAAAACAGTGTAGCAAAGGTTAAACTCTGTGTGTGTCTGTGTGTTTAGGATAAAATTTCTCTTATATGAATGCCATTCTCAAAAGAATTTCACATTAATTTTGGGCTTGTTCAAACAATAATTTACCCCCAGGATTCTGCCATTGTCGGAACAGGCTCACAGGGAAAAAAACCTGCAATCTTGCGCAATTTCGGTTTTCACATCGTTAAAAGAAATTGCTGGGGTTGACGTATGTGCTGCTTGCTTTTCTACTATTTTCTTCTGTCCAGCCCTCTTATTTCAAACTAAGCCTGTCTGAATAATGAAGGAACAATACCTATCATCTTTAGCTGAAATGCAAGCATAAATGTGCAAAACTGGTTTCACAAAAGCATGATGACCTTAACTATTCCTAAACTATTCATGTTTCTTCTGTTCCAGGTAACCTTTGCATAACATAAAGATAAGTTTCTTTGAGAGAGAATAACTTAATGAATTCATTTGTGTGTTTTTTAAACAAAGATACCTTTGGAAATTTAGTGTAATCATTCTTGGACAGTAGAAGAATTGTATTAATATTATGAGCATGGTGAATGAAATTTCCTAAGCCAATAGGTCAGAGAACACCGTCTGCTATCAAGGGTGTGTGTGTTTTAATTGGCACTCTAACAGAGAAGGTGTCCTCTTGATAGAACAGCATCTGGCTGACATCATGCTCACATGCTGACTTTATTGCACAAGAGAGATCCTCACGGGTGTAACCAGCTCTGCAAAATCATGCTTTGTTTGTGGATTGTAACACATAATAAAGAAAGAAAATATATTTTCTATGTGAGGACTAAATTTAATGGTTTACTCATATAAGCCTAGAAAATGGGTCCATCCTTAGTATGGTCTTCCCAAAGCCTCTTGGTGTCTCCAGCTCCAGTGGAATATAGATGGGGGATACTTTGCAGAAAAGACAACCATGCTGCTGTGCCCCTTCAATCTTTTAAAAATGTTTATGTGTGAGGAAGAGGTTGTGTTTCACTTCCTGCCCAAAATGCAACACTACAATAAGCAGAAGAAAACCAAAAAAGAAGGGGAACCAGCATACATGAAATGGTACAAAGCACAAAAAACCGCTGGCTAAAGATAAATAAAAATATATAAAAACAATATTTAATGCCAAGTTCAGTAATACACTCATATAACTATATAAATCCAAGATGTTCTTGCAAGAAACAACAGTAATACAGAAAAATAGAAAAATAAATTTCAGTGTGTCTCACTCCTGTTCTATTGTAATTCCATAGTCGAACTTGACATACATTCATCATAGAGTGGACTCATATAGTTCCTGGAAAATCCAAACAATCTTGAAATCTATAAACCATGGAGATGCGTAGTCTAGATACAAGCTGCCACGTTTCGAATAGTTCTTTTTCAAAACCAATAGGCTATAGTGATATTCTTTCCTAAATATATACTTGACCTGTGCAGTTGCAGCCTGTTTTCCTGTTATTTATTCAATTAGAGCAGTAAGATCTTTTACTACTTGACCTGTGTTGCTGCAGCCTGATACTAGATATAAATTATGGTGCAACACATGGTGGGATAAGGACCCATGATCCTTTATGACTGAATATACTGCCTTCTGTATGTGCTTCTACTGAGATTGGGGTGAGTCTTCCTGTGTGTTTATATTATGTATTTATGCAATTTATGCATATTATATGATTGTTTATCCTCATTTGTGCATGTCTTGAATTTGTATGTAGTCCCACTATAGCCTATTGGTTTTGAAAAAGAACTATTTGAAACGCGGCAGCTTGCATCCGGACTACGTGTCTCTATGGCTTATGGATTTCAAGATTGTTTGGATTTTCCAAGAACTATATGAGTCCACTCTATGATGAATGTATGTCAAGTTCGACTATGGAATTACAATACAACAGGAGTGAGACACACTGAAATTTTTGGAACTTTATATTTCTTTATTTTGTTTCTTGCAAGAACACCTTGGCTTTATATAGTTATATGAGTGTATTACTGAACTTGGCATTAAATATTATTTTTATACATTTTTGGTTATCTTTAGCCAGGGTTTTTTTGTGCTTTGTACCAAAATGCAACACTGTCATCTTTTCAATGACAGAATGTTATGGTTTTAGTACATCAGTATCCTCACATTAGGGGCTGCGGTGGCTCCCACTGTTTTGGTTTGAAGGTAACAGTGTTCCGTGTGCCTCAGCATTTAGTCATGCCAGTCACATGACCACAGAGAAGTCTTCGTACAGCACTGGCTCTTTGGCTTGAAAACAGAGATGAGCACCGCCCCCTAGAGTTGGATTTGACTGGCTTTTGAGCAAGGGAAACCTTTACCTTTACCCTAACAATAGGAGCATAACCTTGAAAAAAAATTAGGGTATGTGAGCTGCAAATGAGAAAAATCTGTGTTTCCAGTGATAGGAAAATATTGCATGGAAAAGCTCTGATAGAGTGCCATCATTAGAAGCTGATCATGTTTTACAACTTAAGTGTTGACCTCATGTGAATATCTGTGATTAAATTAATCTTTTTAGCAATACCATAATGCATGCTTTGGTTGTATTCTCCTCCCACACTTCTTAAAATGTATTAATGTGATCATCTGGGTCTAAGTAGATCTTGCTGATAAAATCTGTCAATAATAAAGGAGTAGGCATGTTTACGTGAACATCTTATGATCATCTGCTTTGTGGAAAGGATGAATAATTGGTATATTTCTCCCATTTTTGTGTGTGTTAATTTTCCTTTCACCATCTGGAATAAAAAAGGTTCTGAAGAGTCAAATTAACAGGTGTTATCAGAACAGACTTCCTGTAGTCTTTATCCATTCTTGTAGCTGACCTCACTTTGTACCTTTTAGAGAAACTTTCCAAAAGCTGTTTGGTAGGTTCAGCTCTTTAAACTATACCAGTACCTGCAAGGCTAAACTCTCAAAAAAGAGCAGTACCAAAGCCAGTTTTCTTAGGCTATGAGAAATAATAATCAGATCATGCTAGAACCTCTTTGCTCAAAAAAGATCTCAGACCGCTCCACATCACCTTGATGGGAAGGGGACAGAACTCTCCCTTGCCCTGGTACACTCCTGTAATCTTCTGAAGCTCTTCCTTCATTACAGGGCAGTTACAGTCCAAATGAGTTGCAAATACAGGAAACACACACTATGGAACAACAGGGTGGATCTAATGCTTATATAAAAAAAGAGTATTGATATAGACCCCACTTTTTCCTGCAGCTGCAGGGGTGCTAACTTTGCCTGTCTGTAACTTTCACTGATGTTGGAAAGCAAGGATGTTCTGTGAATTACAGAATTCCCTCCTGAATATTTAAGTTATATATGTGGTAGTGTGTAGGAATAAGCCTTGTAGTCCACTGTGCATGGAACTTTCAGAGTGAACAAATCCTACATGCATTTATGTAGTACTACCAGATTCTATTGGGTAATGCTTAAAGGAGGTTTGTATTTCTTGCCTGGAACTTTGAGATCAGGCCGTTACTTATTGTCGCATTACTTGTCTCCAACAATTTACTCAATACACTTCTATACTGATAACATTTCTAATAATTTCTCTCTTGCCCTCAGTAAATTCAACCTCTCAATAGGCTTGTACCTCAGATTTTTCATGAATAGGTGGAAGGAAGCTGAATTGGTCAGGAGTGTCTGTTGTATTACTTTTCTTGGCGTGTGCTCCGGGGCAGTGCCATCCCCATTCCTGGTAGCTGATTGTGTTTTATGTGCTTTATAGTTGGAGTGGGATTTGTTGACATGGGCTGTTTCATCTTTAACTCAATACATGTCCTTTGAGGCAATGTGCTGATATTCCTATTTTCCTTGTTTTTGCTTAAAATCTAATCAGATTTCATTTGTTCTTCTGAATACAGAATACTTTGCAGAGTTTAATTTGTTGTTATACCTAATTTTCATAGATTATAAGCACATCTCAAAGACTGACCAATTCAGGACGTGTTCTGATTGGAAATTCGTATACCACAGTGCCAGCCATGGTCACTCAGACACACATAACAGATGTCAGTGGCTGGGTCCCAGGGTAAATAACCTATTTGTCTTTTCTCATTCTTGCATACTTATTTCAAGTTCCTTTGTTTCTTTTCATAGCTCAGAGAGTTGGCTCATCAGTGTGTTGGTGACCAGGGATGTGCATTCGGTTAGTCCGAACCGAATGCACCCGAAAATGGCCCATTCGGACCCCTTTCAGGCTGCTGCAGGCCGATTCAGATTCTCTGATCTGAATTGGCTTGCCGCTGAATTTCGACGGCAATTCGGCCCCATTATATCCTATGGGCCATTGAAGTCAATGGCGAAAGCATAGGGTATATTCTGGGGGCTGGAGGGGAGGGAGTTTGAGGGAGAGGCTCCAAACTCACAGGGTAGCTGCTGGATCCTCTCCCTAAGATGTGAAGAACATTGGACCAGGGGGTCCAATTCTACGGGCCCCCAAATAGATTGCCCTTATTCCCTCCATTGTTCTCTATGGAGAACATGAGGGAAGGGAGTTGCAGCTAGGATCGGCATAGGGGTGGTACATAAACACCTAATTTCTTTAAATGAAACTAAGTTCTCGGGGCCAGATGAACTGTATCCAAGGGTACTAAAAGAACTCGCGGATGTAATTTCTGAGCCTCTGTCCATTGTTTTTGAAAATTCTTGGAGAACAGGTGAGGTGCCAGAAGATTGGAGGCGGGCAAATGTTGTCCCCATCTTCAAGAAGGGGGAAAAGGAGGATCCAGGTAACTACCGACCTGCCAGCTTGATGACTTTACCTGGGGAAAGTTTTAGAACAAATAATCAAACATACAGTCCTTGAGCATTTAGAAAGGATGGCTGTGATTACTAAGAGTCAACATGGGTTTCTCAAGAACAAGTCATGTCAGACGAACCTTATCTCTTTTTTTGAGAAAGTTTCTACCTTGCTGGATAAGGGGAATGCTGTAGACATAGTTTATCTTGATTTCAGTAAGGCTTTTGATAAGGTTCCACATAATATTCTTGTTAACAAATTGGAAAAATGTGGTTTGGATCATATGACTGTTAGATGGATCTGTAACTGGTTGACAGATTGCACCCCAAGGGTGCTTGTGAATGGTTCCTCATCCTCTTGGAGAGGAGTGACAAGTAGAGTGTCTCAGGGATTTGTCTTGGGACCTGTTTTGTTCTACATCTTTATCAATGATTTGGATGAAGGGATAGAGGGAATTCTTATTAAATTTGCAGATGATACTAAATTGGGAGGGGTAGCAAATATGGTAGAAGACAGAGTCAGGATACAGGATGATCTTGACAGGCTGGAAAACAGAGCTAAAACAAATAAAACGAATTTCTCTGGGGATTGATGTAAAGTTTTGCATTTAGATAGCAAAAAATCAAATGCATAATTATAGGATGGGGGAGACTTGTCTTGGCAGTGGTATGTGTGAAAAGGATCTAGGGGTCTTAGTAGACCATACATGGAACATGAGTCAGCAGTGTGATGCGGTAGCTAAAAAGGCAAATGCGATTTTGGGCTGTATCAATAGAAGTATAGTGTCCAGATCGCGCAAAGTGATGGTATCACTTTACTCTGCTCTGGTTAGACCTCACCTTGAGTATTGTGTTTAGTTTTGGACACCACAATTTAAGAAGGATATTGACAAGCTGAAACATGTCGAGAGGAGGGCAGTGAAGGAGGGCAGTGAAGATGGTGAGGGGTCTGGAGACCAAGTCCTGTGAGGAAAGGTTGAAGGAGCTTGGTATGTTTAGCATGGAAAGGAGACAACTGAGAGGTCATATGATAACCATCTTCAAGTACTTGAAGGGCTGTCATATAGAGGATGGTACAGAGTTGTTTTCTGCTGCCCCAGAAAGTTGGACCAGAACCAACAGGTTGAATTAAATCAGAAGAGTTTTCGGCTAAATGTTCGGAAGAATTTCCTGACAGAGCGGTTTCTCAGTGGAACAGGCTTCCTCGGGAGGTGGTCAGCTCTCCTTCTTTGGAGGTTTTCAGACAGAGGCTCGATGGGAGCAGTGCTGATTCTGTGAACTTAGGCGCACATCATGAGAGGAAGGGTAGGAGGGGGTTGCATCAGTGCTTAGTTCTTGTGGCCCTTTCTTACATGCCCAGGGAAATGCTGATCACCACTTTGGAGTCAGGAAGCAATATTTCTTCAGTCCAGTTTGGCTGGAGAGCCTGAAGGTTTTTTGTCATCTTCTGGGTGTGGAACAGCAGTCATTGGGGGTGTGGGGGCGGAGATATTTGTGAATTTCCTGCATTGTGCAAGGGGCTGAACTAGATGACCCTAGAGGTCCCTTCCAACTCTATGATTCTATGATAGGGAGAGTTCAGGCTTGATTTGATCTAGAACCCAGTGATTTGTCTTTTTGGTGGTCCATGGTATCCATAAAACTCTCCTTCAACACCACAATTCAAAGGAATCAACTTTCTTCACTGTCCAGCTTTCATACCTATGCATAGTAATAGGGAGTACTATAGTATGAATTATCTTGATCTTGATTGCCAGTAGCACATCCTTACACTTAAAGATCTTTTCTAGCTCCTTCATGGCTGCCCTTTCCAGCCGTAATCACCTTCTGATTTCTTGGTTGCAGTCTCATTTTTGGTTGACGATTGAACCAAGGAATATAAAATCTTGAACAATTTCAATTTCTTTATCATCAAAGTTGTGTGATTCCCGAGTAGTTAGTACTTTTGTCTTCTTAATGTTCAAGTGTAATTGTGTCATTTCAGGTCTTCACTATTTTCTGCCAGTAATGTGGTATGCAGATCTCAAATTGTTAATGTCCCTTCCACCAATTTGGACTCCGCTTTCATCTAAATCTAATCCAGTATTCTTTATGATATGTTCTGCGTATAGATAGGGAGGTAAAATATATCCTCGTCTGACACCTTTGCCCATTTGGAAACCATTCGGTTTTTCCATATTCTGTCCTCACAGTAGCCTGTTTTCCAGAGTATAAATACAGCTAAAAATATGTAATACTGTGTAATCATACATGTTCTAATGCTCTGACTCTTTTAATGTATTCAAAGGGACAGAAAACGAACTCGAGACTTTATGGAAACAGATTTTTCAGAAAGGTATGTGTTGCTGTTGATTTGTAATGAACCTTGTCCTCATCATCAAATCTGCCTTGAATCTCAATGAGAAAGATGGACTATAAATGAATTTCTTAATTTATTAAAATATTTCCCCACCTGTCCTCTTGGTTCAAAGTGGCTTATAGTAATTAAAGTATTACAAGTTAAAACCAAAATAAAATAACAAACCCCAAATACCACCCCAGCAAAGAGATGCCTGCTATTCAGAGCCCATCAAAAGGTTATGCGTGGTTTATCATATAACTGATAAGACAGGATAAAAAGGTTAATATATTATGAGAAAATGGTAGAATGTTGAGTAAGTTGTTATAATGGTTTATAATGTTATATAATTTTCCTAAAAATTCAAGTATTTGAATCAAGAATAGTTTTTTATACTTGCAAAAAATGCCCTTTATAGTATGTTTTGGTATTTTACCTTTTATTCTTTCCCTTTAACCCTTTTTCTTATTCTATATTCCCTCAAAAAGTTCAATTTTAAAAAAAAGCCCTGTCAAACCAACAGGCCTTGCAACACCTCCTTAAGCTCTCCAATGAGAGGGCTCCCCTCACCTCTTTGGGGAGCCCATCCCACAGAGTGGGAACCATAATGGAAAAGGCTGGAGCTCTGGTCAGTGCCAGGTGCTCCACTCTTAAGTGTGGTGGCAGCCTGAAGCCTGTAGTAGGTACATGGGAACATATGAGAGGAGGCAGTCTTTCAGATATGTGGGCCCCAGGCCATGGAAGGGCTTTAAAGGTTATAACCAGCATCATCAGTTGAACTCAGAAACAAGCTGGATGGTGATGTAGTTGTTTTGTAATAGGCAACATATGCTCCCATTGGCTGTCCCCTGATAATAGGTAGGCTGCTACATAGTGGACCCCATTAGGGGTCATGAGCGGTATAGAAGTCACATGTAAATAAATAAATAAATAAATAAATATGCTGACCAGCTCCTTTGAATATGATTATAAAATTACAGTTTTATCTCTGATTCTGCTTTTCTGTAGAAATAACTTCATCTGCTGTATTGGAACAAATGCTGCTCTCTTTTGTACTTGCATACTTCTAAATTCCTTCTAAATCATCTGTCTAGAGCAAGGGTAGGCAACCTTTTTGTTCCAAGGGCCAAAAATGATGTACCATCTACCTGTGAAAATGTTGATTTGCTGATAAAATGGGGGGAGGGAAATGAAGATTGTACATGACCAGACACACTTGGTACATGCCCAGCCCCAGGAGCACTGTTGGCTTCTCAGATATTCACCTTGGACCTAGCTTGTGGCCATGCAGGTCTAGCAGGCAGTGGGCATAAGCTATGCCTACTGCTTTCCTTCACACCGCTGGCCCCAGTTACTTGGCCAGAGGTCTGACCTTAGGTGCTAACCCACTAACTAGCTAACAGATGCTCCATGTGGAGCAGCAAAATTGGGGGATGAACAATTTCCTCTTGCCCCAGTGTGGCTTTCACATGGAAACATGGCTGTGGTGCCGGTCTGAGCCCATTTGAGTGCTTTATTTTGGAGAGCCTGGACCCAGTGCTTTGTATCGGAGAGCCTGGACCCAGGTCTTTAAAAACAGTAACATGTAGTTCGGCCTCCAGTTTAATTAATTCTGTGGGATAATTGGGCACATACAGTTATTTATTTAGAAAACTTGTATGCAGCCTCTTCAGGGAGCCTGCTTGTGGGGGAAAACATGATAAAATCATAAAACAGCATAAAATCATTAACCAGTTATTTAAAAAAAAACATTTTTTAAAAAAAACAGCCAGAGTGTAAAAACGTTCAGCATCCTAAAATGAGCTCATAAAACAATCCTCAGGATAAGCAGACTGTAACAACAATTTTAAAGAGATCAAACCCCTTAATTCAAAACCTGGGTAAAAAGAAATTTTGAACCTGGGGCTTAAAAGAGTAGGGTAGGCACCAGGCAGGCTTCAAGAAAGGGTATTCTACGGGCAAGATACCACAGCTGAAAAGGCCCGATCTCTGCAGACAGTTCCTGAAATGTAGAATCTTATCGTTAATATTCCAAAGAATTTAGTGCATTAAAAATTATACGTAGCATGAGAGAGAGAGGATGAAGTTGAAATCATGTAGTTGGCTTTGTTATTACATGTTACCATTCCCCGCCCCCAGTAAAAACTTCAAGTACCACACTGTCAAATACCACGAAGTCAGTTATTAATCTTCATTGCTTAGCTTAAATCTGATTTTTGTCTTTTCTACAGTAAAAGAAGTAAGAAAGGAGATAAGAATGGCAAGGGCCTAAGGCATTTTTCAATGAAAGTGTGTGAAAAGGTCCAGCGTAAAGGAACAACATCATATAATGAAGTTGCAGATGAGCTGGTATCAGAGTTAACAAATTGTAATAGCCACTTAGCAACAGGTTCAGTAAGTAAAGAACAACACATACCTTTTTTTTTTGTCCGGCCTGATAAGTTGCAGTCAACTTTCTTAAGTTCAAAATTAAGTGGGATGTTTGATATATTGATTAACCACAAGTGGGGGCCAGGGCAAGTTCTGTCACAGCCTTATAGGAAGCCAGAAGGGGGCAGAGGTATTTGCTTTCATACTACATTTCCTCCAAACAGGGCAACCATTTAGCATGACATGAGTAAGCTATCTGTGTCAGAAGTGACTGTTGCTGCTATAGTTGTACAGACATGCTGCTTCAGGATAATCTCATGGTTTGTGGTGTCAAAGCAACCACTTCATAGTGAGGTTATACAGACACAAAGGCCCTAGCACTCATTCCAGAAGTCTTATGGCAGAATATATGATCAGGCTGGTTAATTCTAATTGAAGTCTTGCAACATGTTTTGTAAAAACACAGGCAGTGGGAGACATAGGAGCTGGTCTTCAAAAGGCCTGATGGATGTTGAGGTGGGGGAAGGGGATTATTTGTAAGCATACTAGAGCCCTTTTTACAAGCTGCTGCCTTTTGTATTCTTGCCAGGATAGGGTAGCCCCGATAAGGACTATCTCTGCTAGCAGTTCAGTAAGATGATTGTGGTAATATAGCTTCAGTGAACGTTTCCACATAATAGCTATATATTCATGTCTGGACTGTGCACATTAAGCTTGGCATAGTTTATTGTTTACTATCAATATATGAAAGCATGTTTCTATTGATCTTTCAGTCTGTTCACATATTGTCTTTTGTATAATTGTCACATGTTGCAACACTTCAGTACTCTAACGAGTCTGTATTCAAAAAAGTTAAAAAATTCTATTTCTAGAGCTAGCCAGGCTAGTAAATGAACTATATGCTCAGTTCAAGCTTTGGGTAAAATCTAGGATGGTTTACTAATGGGCAGGAGCACTGAATACAAAATAAGGATACAGACTGTATACAAAATATGTACACTATGTAAAGGGTATGTGGATTCCCAAATTAATTTTATCATGGCAAAGGAGACTTATGGATAATTTTCACATGTATTCTTAAGGTTTCCATATTACCATTTGGAAAACGTCACAGTTGAAGTAGTCCTTCGTCTCTTACAGCTGGTAGGAGCAAAGTCATTGCCCTCTGCTAACATAAATGTCTTGATTCCAAAAAGCACACACTGTTACTTAAACCTTGATGATATCAAATAAGTCTAGACATAGGTTTATTCCTTGCATATCTGGCTGGCCCAGATATGGTAGGGGGAGGAGAGAGGAGACTAGAAAGCTAGTTTAACTTTGTGAATGTTTTAATTTTTTCATAAACTTGTCTGTAGTTTTGGTCATAATAATGGTACCCTGCTATCTTCCAAAGATAAGAACCAAAGAAAAATTCATGCCATATGATAGAACCTTGACATATTTTTCAAAAAAGCAAAATTTAAACATTTTTTAAATATCTGTATGAGGCTGATATATAACAGTGTTGTATTTTAATCAGGTTTATGATCAGAAGAATATTAGACGGAGAGTTTACGATGCACTCAATGTATTGATGGCAATGAACATTATTTCAAAGGAAAAAAAAGAAATCAGATGGATAGGTCTTCCTACAAACTCAGCTCAAGAATGTCAAAATCTGGAGGTAAGAGAGTGTGGGACATACGTGTAGCTTAGCTAAAAGGGGGAATATCTGAAATCTAGTTATTTTTAACTCTTGTGTAGACTGGTACTCTAGAATAACAATATTGATGAAATAGAGCATTTATAGAAGAAGAAGAAGAGATTGGATTTATACCCCGCCCTTCACTACCCAAAGGAGTCTCAGAGCGGCTTACAAACTCCTTTCCCTTTCCCTTCCCCTCCCCACAACAGACACCCTGTGAGGTAGGTGGGGCTGAGAGAACTCTTGACAGAAACTGCTCTTTTTCAAGAACAGCTGTGCCAGAGTTATGGCTTGCTCAAGGTCATCCAGCCAGGTGCAAGTGGAGGAGTGGGGAATCAAACCCGGTTCTCCCAGATTAGAGTCCGTGCACTGAACCACTACACCAAACTGGCTCTCTAGAGCATTTATCATGCTTTGGTACTAACCCAAGTGAGATGAAAGGTTCTGAAAGAATTTGAATGTATCTGGCAACTTTGTAGTATATATTGTGTGTGCTGTGATTTACTTCCCCAAAATGATTGATTTCCTCACAAAATAAAAGTTCGACTTTAATCTCTATATTGTTTTGTATATTTAATTTTGCATTTGTTCTGAAGATTGAGAAACAGCGATGTATAGAACAAATAAAACAGAAGAGAGCTCAGCTGCAAGAGCTTCTACTGCAGGTAAAGTTTTCAGAAATTTACTTGTAAACAAACCCAGGGCATAGTTGCTTGCTTAATAAACTTGCTGTCTCAGTCATTCCTTTTGGAAATGCAGCTGAATTTCTTCTGCATAATACACAGGCACATCCACATCAGTGAGCTATATAGATCCCATATCAGGCTCTCTGTCATCACCCTGAGAAATGACATTTTAAAAATTAACTTGTATGCAGCTGATTTGACATTCCATAGTTTAAAAACCCACTGTTGCTGGGCTGCTGGATCATTGCTATTACCCAGCATGAGCTTTATCACGTTCTGAGACAGTAACTTAGGAAAGGTTAGGTTTGTTAAAATCTGATCAACTTCACTTCTTTTTACAGCAAATTGCTTTCAAAAATTTGGTACAAAGAAATCAACAAAATGAACAGCAGCATCAGAGCCCTCCAGTTTTGAACTCTACCATACAACTGCCTTTTCTAATAATAAACACAAGCAAAAGAACAATGATAGATTGCAGCATCTCTCCTGACAAGTGAGTGTGATGTGGAAGCATGCATTTAAACATTCATTCTGTTTTGTAAAAAGTCTGGGAAACTCGTGACAAAAAAAGAGGGTTTGGTTCATTTTTAAAGTATGTAGCTCTCACATTTAGTCTTCATTTTTTCTTGCCACTTATTCAGATAGTCCAAGAACTCATGCAAATATAATGATATCATAAGATACAGCAGAGTTGAGTGTTTAAATATCTTCCAAAAACTGTGGAATGACTGAAACTGCCATTATAAGAAGAAACCATGTGGGAAGCTTGGAATTCCAAAATTTTGGTGGATCAAGTTCCCCAACAGAAAACAACATCTTCCGCTGACTCATGAATCACCAGCATTGCTACAGGTTGCAGCAGAAACTTTGAAACAAGTCTTGAAAACAGTGATGAGTGCCAACAGAAACACATCATTGTGACATACAATCCTGTCATTGCAAAACATGTACTTAGGATGACAAGCCAAAGCAAGTCCTAAATTCAGTGATTTGTTCATGATGCAGGGTGTATTTCACATCTGCCTGGCAGTGGGAAAGTTCATGGAAGAATTGGGAGGTACTCGGATCTTGGCAGGAGTTGGAATGCTTGTACATGAATCATTGCGTTTATAGCAGGTGACCATTTAACAGATTTGAAAGGGTACACCTAGTAATCCAGAATCTATTAATTTTATTCCCACTGTGACATATCTGATGAAAAAGTAGTTATTCAGAAAGGAAGATTATATTGGAGAACTGAGAGTGCATGTACAAGGACAGTCAGGCAAGCCTGAGAAAATGGAACAATGCTAGTTGTCCCTGCTTGACATACAAGTTTTAAAATATTTATTTAATTCAGTTTGTATCCCACCCTATCCCGCAAGCGGGCTCAGGGCAGCTCACAACACATGATAACACAAAACATAATAATTCATAATACATCAAACCATTTCATCCAATAAATACTAACACCTGATGGCAGCTTAATTTCTAGCTACAGTGCCTATTGCAACAATGTCAGGTAGGGCATATTTCTCTCAAGCTAACCAGATTCAGCGGATACTGGCACCAAGTTAGCGTAGACAGTTCCCAACGGCAATTGAGGCAGATTGAGTAACTTGAGCAGGGAAGGCTGACGTCCTTTGGACATCCTCAGCCGAAAGCCTGGCGGAACAACTCCATTTTGCAGGCCCTGCAGAATTGTAATAAGTCCTGCAGGGCCCTGATCTCAACCAAGAGCATGCTCCACCAGGCAGGGGCCAGGGCTGAAAAGGCCTTGGCCCTGTTCGAGGCAAGGTGAACGTCCTTTGGGCCGGGGAATACTAAGTGGTACTGCTCAGAAGAGCACAAAGCTCTTCAGGGCACATACAGGGAGAGATGGTCCTGTAGGTATGTTGGTCCCTGGCCACACAGGGCCTTGAAGGTTAGTACCATCACCTTGAATCTGATCTGGTACTCAACCGGTAACCAATGCAGTTGGTGCAGCACTGGCTGAATGTGCGTCCGCATAGACAGCCCAGTCAGCAGCCATGCTGCTGCATTTTGTACAAGCTGAAGCTTCCAGGTCAGATTCAAGGATAGGCCCATGTAGAGCAAGTTGCAGTACTCTAATTTGGAAGTAATCATTGCATAGATCACTGTTGCCAAGTCATAGGGGGAGAGATAGGGAACCAAAGATGGTAAAAGGCTGATCTGGCAACATTGGTGACCTGGGCTCCCATGGAATGGGAGGCATCCAGATTCACCCCAACACTCCTCACTGCTGGGGCCGGCATTAATGGTGCCCCACCAAGGGCTGGGAGTCAGATACCCAATCTTAGTAATTACAAATGATGTCACAAATGATGTCTCTTGGCATAAGGTAGACTTGAAAATAGAAAAGATTATTTGGATCAGCTTTAAGGTAGATAAGAGCCTTTTTCTTGTGAAACGTTAAGAACAAAATATATAAGCACAGGTTTTTTAGTATGGTTCAAAAAGGCTTCTTCAGGCAGCCCAGATGTCCTTGAAAAATTTGCACCAGTTCTTTTCCTGATAAAGCTATACTATTTATTTTCAGTTTTGAATATCAAAAAATACGTTTTGAATCTTAGGTGTTATGAAGTCATCATATAAAATAAATTTGAAAGGAGAACATATGACATAAGGGAGGAGCTGTGGCTCAGTAATTGAGTCTTTGCTTGGTGTGTAGAAGGTCCCAAGTTCAATCCGGGCATTATCAGTTTTAAAGAAAGGATCAGGTGGAAGGTGATATGAAAAACCATTACCTACAAGCTACTGCCAGCCTTGAGTAGAGAATATGGTCCTTAATGGACCGATGGTCTGATTCAGTATGAGACAGCTTCATATGCAAGTCCTATGTGAGATTAAGAAGTTCTGTGTGCATCTGGCTGTTTTTGTATCCCAAGACTATAACTCTCTATTGCAAGCACACTGGTTGTGCCAGCTTACAGGCTACCAACACCTTACAAACAAAGTCTCTACACCTGGTGCTGTATTATCATCTCTGTCATTGTCACTGCTGAAAATAGTTTTGGGAACATCCTCAAAACTTAAACTGCATGTTTGCTGGCACATCCAGTCTGCAATCCAAATCTCTCCCTTATATATAAGTGAGTAAGACACAGCGTCACACAGCGGAGAGAAAATGCGCACCAACAGTGCTTGGAGGGTTGAACTGTCCGTCAGAAGCTTCCCCAGCTTCCATTGGCCGTGTTGTCTGTCCCACCTCAGAACACAAAGGCTGCGTCACGCAGCGGAGAGAAAATGCGCACCAACAGTGTTTGGAGGGTCGAGTTGTCCGTCAGAAGGTTCCCCAGCTCCCCGGTCCCACCTCAGAACAAAAAGGCTGTAGCCCTGCCTCTGTAGCTGGTCCCCTCAGACGTCAGACTACTGCTGACAACCACCTGGTGGGTGAGTGGGACCGGGGAGCACTTGAAGAGTGCCGCCGCCGATAAGCCGCTCGCCTGTCTGGCTTACTAACTGTCTATGTCTCTCTCCCCCTCCCCCTTCTTCCTTCCTTCCTTCCTTCCTTCCTTCCTCTCTTTCTCCAAACCCCTCTATCTATCCATCTACCTATCTATCTACCACCCACCCTACCTTTCTAGTGCCCATTGTCTTCGTCCACAATGGGCTTTGCTCCCTTGTATACTAATAATACGACTGTAGCTTGAAATTCTGGATGTTACTTATGATGACCTGATAAGACCAGAAAGGTTTGCAAGCTTCACCAGGTTGTTGGTCAGGTTTAAATGTCTTTTTCCCTATTTAACTGCAGATACAATATATATGCCACTCTGTCCCTTAGTAAAAGACTGTTATCAGGATGAGGTTCTAACAGCCACTCTTGCTATTAAAATAAAATGGCCAGAATTCCTTACTCCTCCACCCTAGCCAGTACTTCAGATGAAGCACACTTCCCTCAGTTCTTTTTCTACCGCCATGGAGAAAGGATGTACTACAATTTCAGAAAGATTTCTTGGACGAATTTGTATGTTTTTTCGACCATCTTTTATTTACGACCATTTCCCATTTATTGCCTATTTATGACATTTTTTCGACCAATTCTTATAGAGATGGCACTTTTTAAGAAATGCCACAGTTGTGGCACGAAAATGGTGCAAAATGACAACCATGACCAGTGCCTCATGTGCTTGGGGGAAGGGCACAAACACGTCTTGTCAGGCATGTAGCCTCTTCACCCAAAAGTATGGCAAGAAAGAGCGCTTTACCTCAAGGTTGCTTTGTGGGAGCAGTCACTTGGGGTTCCAGAAACGCTGGATTCCCCTCAAAAAAGAGCCAGGACCCCCTTAGTGGTCTCTGTGCCAGTCTAGCAATCAAAATCTGATGCTTGAGGGATGGCTCAGACCCCAAGAGTGGCTTCTGAACCACATATAAAGAAAGCAAAAAAGAAGTCAAAGCACTCTACTTCATCGACTGCTTGACCCCAACATAGCAGCTCCAACATGACGTTGAAACAGCCTGTTCAGGACCCAGCACAACTCCAATGGTCCGTTTCCGCTCAAGATTGATCTCAAATTCTCTCAACATCTCCACAGAGTCAGAATGGTTCACCTCGCCATCGATCATCATTGTTGACTCAAACTCAACTTTCAGTGTCTCTGCGTTGATCGCCATCGAGATCCCTTCCACCCCGAAGATATCAATCCCTTTGATGTCAAAGCCTTAATGGTCGATATCATCACCACTCTTCTGATGAAAGCACAACATGTTTTCAAAAACTTCATACTCCTTCCCTCTCTATGTCTTTAAAAGAATACCAGGCCTTGGAAGAAGACGTAATTTAATTAATCACCCCGAGACAGAAGGCTTCATTAAGCAAGCTGTTACGCCAACTGCTTTATCTACAGCAGAGGCTAACTAAATTTAACATGAGTCCTGGCCAGCTATACCAAGGTCGTGTCTACCCACAGAGTTCCAGTAATGGAGGCGAGACGGGTGTTTTTCCAAAACAATCTTTTTACTAAGCAATATCAAAGTCACATACACACAAAATAATCAGTCTCACAATAGCATACACTCAAGGTTCCTTTAGAGTTACAGAAAGATATTAAGATAATTTCTTATTTACTTGGAGGTAGGTAGGTGTCTATTTCGATTCATACTTGCCTGTTCCAGAAGTCTTGTCTGTTGCAAGGGAAAATTGGAGGGTAAGGAATAGTTCTAGGGCAGTGGTGGCAAACCTATGGCACGGGTGCCAGAGGTGGCACTCAGAGCCCTCTCTGTGGGCACGCGTGCCATCACCCCAGCCAGGCCCAGACCATCATTAAAGTGTCGAATTCTCTGCCAAATAATTTTAAGTAAATAAAAGCATTTGGGATTGCTTTCCTTACTTTGTTTGGATCATCTTAAGTTAATGTATGGGTTGTTTTTTCTAAAGTAAAACCTCAGTATTCAGGTTAAATTGCCGTGTTGGCACTTTGCGATAAATAAGTGGGTTTTGGGTCGCAGTTTGGGCACTCGGTCTCTAAAAGGTTCGCCATCACTGTTCTAGGGGTAGTTACTAATTCATACTGCTAGAACTAGCCAGCTAGTGTGGGGATCTCTTTGGCTGCACATCCCAAAGAGATCTGGTAAAGACAAAGAGTTTTAAAGAAGGAAAAGGGGGGGGTAGTAGAATGTGGCCAGCCAAAAGACTTGAAGCATGGTCTTTTCATTGATGGTAGAATCTCCAGGTGGGTGGCACCTTGCCAAACTGCAATCCCACCTACTTACAAGTCCATCCCATGACCTCCCTCATTGGTGCATGTAGAAGAGGGGCAGGTATTCTGTGGGTGGGGCGATATTTGAAACTCTACACTCTATCTCATGGAATACCATCTGGCCAGGTTTGAAGTCTCGGCTTCCTGTATCCTCTTTGAAGTACAGATGAATCTTGGCTTTCCCAGGCGAACAAGGTACCATCAACAGGAAACTGCAATTCAAATGCAGTTCAGGTCCGTGTTCTGTGTGACATCTAGTCTTTTCAGCAATGGGGGAATTTCTCCTTCTTGGTTGTTGTCTCTGCTTACAATGGCTAACGTGCTTCTTCTTCCCATGAGCCTTTGAGCTGAATGTGTGCAAGCTACATTAACATAAAATGCAGGCAAGTGTTCCCTATGTGAATTCTCTCACAGTAGGTGATGCTAACAGCTATGGTATACAGATGTGTGCACAGTCTATGTGTTGCTTGTGTAGCAGATATAAAACCATAAATTAGTCCATTTCTCAACAAAGCCAACATCAGTTTCTGACACAAACACCTGTTATACGTCAGAGTGGAGCTCTCAGCCACAGTGGGGTCAATTCCACCTATGGTTTATGCCCCCGTGAAACAAATAGGATCCTTCCTTCAACCCTTGGTGGCAGCCACCTACCTTTTGCACCAGCTCTATTGTAAGATCATGATAATCAGACAGCCATAGAACAACCCAGGACTCTGTATGCTCGTATGCAGACCCTGAGACCCAGCCAAACCAAAAATTGGAGAATGACTCAGAATGTTTCCTTTCCCTCACCCAATGACACCAACCTGTATCTCCAACTGAAGACCTCAAATTATATTCCGAGCAACTTGTTTAGATAGTTAAGGCACTAGAGATTGAATACACACCTCCAGAAACAAGGGTTGTAGACCCAGTTATGAATGCATTGTATTCAACTGACCCGGGCCCAATAGCCCTACCAATGGTGAAAGGCATCCTAGAAACATATGGGCTAAACTAGCCTCTAGTCAAGTTTCCACTAAGAAAGAATGTGAATTCCTCTTTTAGCATCCCCCAGCTAACTCTTTAGTGATGGGGGCTCTCTCACCTAAACAAAAAGAGAGAATGCACTCAGCCTTTTTATAAATAGCAATCCCTTCCCTTGATCTTCATCTGTTTGCGATGCTTCTTTAAGAGGGTGAGGAGCTCACTGTGATTTGATTTGTATTAATGGGCACTGGAGTCCAGCTGAGTCAAGACTCCATATTAATGTTTTAGAGCTTAGAGCAGTTAGATATGCCCTTACTTCTCTTTCGGACACCATCCATGGAAAGACACTGCTGCTGTCCATGGACAACATAGCAACAAAATACTACATCAACAAACAAGGGGGAACAAGCTGTCTAAGGTAATGCAAGGAGGCAAGACAACAGATTAGCAGATCACTTGAGCAGGGACCCACTTTCAAAACACAAATGGTCCATAAACATGAAATATTTGCTCCCAATTTTTGAGACTTGGGTCACCCTTAAGTAGACCTGTTTACTTCAGCAGACAACACAAAATGCCAAGCCTTCTGCTTGAGAGCGGCCACAGACAACCACTCCTTGGGAGACACAGTCGATCTGCATTAATCCCACAGCCTTTATTATGCCTTCCCACCCTTCCTGCTGCTCCACCATTTGATGTTGAAACTGAAATCTTAATAGCCCCCTTATGGCCCAGGAGGACATGGTTACCAACTTTGTGGTGCCTGACCAAGGACAGAAAAATACCTTCTCGTACAACACAAGACCTTCTGTCAGTGGGACTAATCCATTACCACAACAAAGAGATACTACGTCTCCACATGTGGTTCATTTCTCCGTAGACCAATAGTTAGAGTGGCTGAAGTTTTAGTGTCATCACGCAAACCAGCCTACCTGGAAATCTTATGATGCTAAATGGCAACATTTTACAACGTGGGTGAGGGACAGGAGAATTAGGCCAAAGTCCTGCCCCCTAGCAGAAATTTTTGAGTATCTCCTTTCCTTGATAGACTCAAGTCTATCCACCTCCTCCATCAAGGTTCACATAGCAGCCATAGCAGGCTTCCACACTGGTGTGGACTCTATGCCTGTGTTTTCAAATGTACTATCTAAGAGGTTCCTCAAAGGTTTTAATAACTTACCTACCAGTCAAACCTCCAGTTCGTCAACAGAGTTCATCTCTTGTCGTTTATCTCAATTAATATATAAACTGTTTTAATTCATGGCTTCATGAGATCTTCATTATCGTATAAGACGGCATTCTTAGTCGCAATAACATCAGCATGCTGAGTGGGTAAAACCAGAGTGTTCAGATTTGACCCACCATTTACTAGATTTCGCAAGGATAAAGTTGTTTTGAGACCCAGTCTCGAATTCACTCCAGAAGTGATTTCCCAATGTCACTTGTCTCAAGACATAATTTTACTTGTATTTTCCCCTGAACCTCAATTGCCAGCAGAACAAGCAATGCACGTTAGATGTCAGAAGAGAATTTTTATTTTATTTAGATCATATCTTGACAGGAAAGATCATACCTCAGGAAAGATATCGATCTCTTTGTTTGCTTTAAAGACCCAAACAAAGGGAAAGCAGTATCTTCACAAGCCCTGTCTAGGTGGGTGACGACTGCAATTAAGATGTCTTACACTAGCACAGGTTTGGAATGCTCATTTCCCCTAAAAGCACATTAATCAAGGGCTCAAGTTTCTTCAGCAGCCTTTCGATGCAACCTTTACATCAGGGAGATCTGCAGAGCTCTGGGTCCTCTCCATCTATGTTCATCAAAAGCTACACTATTGATGTTGATTCTAGGACAGAAGCAGCTGTTGGAAAAGCAGTGTTACAATCTTTATTAATTATTTATTCATTAATCGGCCCACATCCACCTTGTGGTAAGTGAGCTTGCTAATCTCCCATGTGGGACTGCACAGAAGACACGAAGATGACAACATGGTAACTGATGTTCATCAAGTGTCTTCTGTGCAGGCACACATCCCTCCCTCCTTCCCCACTGTGGGCCATACAACTTCATAATCTTCACGGCAGCGGAAAAAGGAGTGAGGGAAGGGTGCTTCCTCTGCCCCTTGTCACGTGATCGTTTGGGCAGGAACAGAGCTTGTAGCTCTGCTGTGCTGAGGGAAGGGGGAGCACTCAGCTGTAAACTCTAGAAGCTTGTAGAAAACTTCTCCATGGCAGGCCTGCTCTGAAGTAGTCCCATGTGTGCCTGCACAGAAGATACTCGATGAACACCAGTTACAGGTAAGTGCAACCATGCTTTATTTCATAGCGCATGGAAGTATTTCTTTGAATCAGAAAGTTCGGGGGGGGGACCAGTATTTTTGACCCCAGTATTTGACATAGGCTGAAGTTTAAAAAATCATCCTGAGACAAAATCAATAGATTTCTAGGGTTCTTTTATACACCTGGTACTTTTACAGAAAGCAAACTATGTAGTAAGTAACTGTACTTTGGGAACAAAGGCAATTGCACATTAGTAATCAGTGTCCCGATAGGAAAAAGTTATAAAGTTATTTAGTTCATTTGTCCACCCCCAAAGTGAAGTTCTGTTGTTGTTTTTTTCAGTTAATATAAATTAGAACAAAATTACACTTATGTGGAAGGGAAAAGCAGAAAAAGAAAGACAAAACTTTTGTGTGTGTGTGTGAGACAAGGCTGTAGGTGACCTTTAAAATCCATTGGGTTTAGTACAAGGAAAGGTTCTGGCTTAAGAAAGATTTTCCTCATCTTTGAATCTGTTTAATGAGGGAGAAGTTTATGGACTCCTATTGCCTTGCATGGAAAAAGTGTTTTAATTGGGAATAAAATAATTTGAACCCTGCTGAGGTGCCAGTTACACAAATGCAATCAAAGCTCTTGCTGAACCAAGCTAAATTTAAATATATCTTTCTCAAGAAGTAATTTCCTGTGTGTAATTGAATTTGGATGCTTATTAACATTATAATTTAGAAAATACAGCTAGGCTCCGGTAGAAAATAGTCTCACTTTGATTTTTATTCTTCCTGCAGATTTGAATATGTCTTCAATTTTGATAATACCTTTGAGATCCATGATGATACTGAGGTTTTAAAGCGAATGGGAATGTCATTTGGTCTAGAGGCAGGCAAATGTTCAGCAGAAGACCTAAGAACTGCTAAATCCCTGGTGCCAAAAGCTTTCGAAAGCTTTGTCACAGGTAAGATAATTGTGGCTTTAACATATTGTTGCTAAGTCTCATCTTAATGAAGTGTTTTCTAATGATGTCAGGCTACAAGAGGATAAAACAGTATTGAGTGATTTATGAAAGTCAGCAGGATTGCATACCTATGTGGGTAGCTTTAAAATTAACTTTCTTTTGCTACATAGATTTCAGAACAGACACTAATGGATGACTATTAATCCCTGCTGCTAAGGCTGTCTTAAAACGTTTAAAGAGTCCTGTACAGAGAGAGACTGCAGATGTTAATATGAACATCTAGAGAGGATCTTTACAAAATAGTTCATAATAGGTAGTGATGAAAACTTGGTAACAGGACCAGGAAATTGACTTGTGGGCAGAGCCAGTGGCATTGGCTGGTCCTCCCTCACTTGGCAGCAGAAAGTTTATCCTGATATAACCTAACTTCATTTAGTTAACACAGGTGCAAGCATGT